AATAGAGATACATTACCAAAATATACTTTCTGGTTTTCAAGTTGAACCATTAAAAATCATTATCATGGGAACAGCAGGAACAGGCAAATCTTATTTGATTAGAACAATTAGAAGTCAACTTTGTAGAATGGCAGAAATTAGATCTAAACCACCTGTACTTGTACTTGTACCAACAGGAGTTGCTGCATATAATATTAATGGTGCAATTATTCATTTAACACTTTTTATTCCAATGCAAATTGAAAATAATATTGATTTGAAAGGTGAACAGTTAAAGTGACTACAAACAAAGTTACAAAATATAAAATATTTAATTCTTGATAAAAAAGCATGGTTGGACGTCGAATGCTTAATTTGATTGATATTCGATTACAACAAGCTTTTCCTGAATATAAAACTGAACCTTTTGGTGGTTGATCTATTATTATGGTTGGAGATTTTGGTCAACTTCCTCCAGTACTTGACCTCCCAATATATGCTACTAATGTTTCAAGAGATCCATTATCTAATAGTGGTATTATATCATATGGTCAGTTTCGTGAAGTATATAAACTTAATATTATTCAATGCCAATCTGGAAATTCTAGAGAGCAACAAATTTTTAGAGAAATTTTTTTAAGATTACGTAATGGTGAGTCTACATTTGAAGATTGGAAAACACTTATTACATGTATTGAAGAAAAACATAATAGAACTGAATGTGATCGATTTTTAAATGCTATGTTCATATTACCAAAATGGTCTGAAGTTGATGCAATTAACTTAAATAAACTTGAATTTTTAAAGAATCCTGTTATCAAAGTTCTTGCTAAACATACTGATGACCAAGAAGCTAAAAAAGCTGATTCTGATATTGCTAAAGGTCTTGAAGCACAACTTTTATTAGCTAAAGATGCTCGAATTATGTTAACAACAAATTTATGAACAGAAGCTGAGTTAGTTAATAGATCAATAGGAACTATTTATGATATTTTATACAATAAGAATGATCCACCTTTTCTTCCTATAGCAGTTTTTATTGCTTTCGATAATTACAATAGTTCTGCTATTAGAACATTAGAAGGTGTAAATGTTGTTCCAATAGTACCTATTTAATGTACTTGAAAAAGTAAATCTGGAATAATGTGCTCATGAACACAGATTCCTATTTGTCTTGCCTGGGCTATTATGGTTTATAAGAGTCAGAGACTTACTCTTTCAAATACTGTAATAGATCTTGGAAATAAAGAGTTTGCAGCTAGTCTTTCTTTTGTAGCAGTGTCTTGAGTTCATGCTCTCTCTAATCTTCTTTTTAAACCTTTCAGCTTTGAAAGGCTTCAGCAAATTAAAAATTATAAAAGATTACAAGATCAAAAAAATAAAGAAGAGCGACTGATATCTATGATATTTAATGAATAAAAAGAGTAATAGTTAATTTATATATATATGTATACATGTTATTATATTATAAAAAAAATTTTAACCAAATATTATTAGCTATACAATATTAATATATATGTATTATTACTGTTATTGTTTATATATTTATTATTAAGGCAGAAGTTTGTTTGATTAGCTAATAAATTCAATTTAATTTTATATTATTTATATAGTTTAGAATATTTTTTAAAAAAATAAAAAATAATTATAATGATAATAAAATAAAAAAAACTATATAGAAGTTTCATTAGAGCTATAGGACTTCATAGCCAAAAGTAAGATTTAATTCTTATCTGTTTAAAAAAGATAGTTTATTAATAATTTTTTAAAATCTGATAAGATCAACTTATTAGTAAGCTAATTTTTTTAAATAAAAGAACATTAAATTTTATTTTGACTATAGAGTCCTATAGGTTTAATGAAACCTTCTATATAGTTTTTTGTATTTTATAAATAATGCTAATATAATGTAGTATTTTTTATCTTGTTATTGTAATTAAATTATACAAAATTGTGATTCTTAATTATATGATTTAATATATCTAATTGATGCTCCGGCCTCATACCGGTTTCCGGTTCCTAGTTATAATTATTGTTCGGAGCAAAGCAGAGAACTCATACTTCTATGCGCTTTGATGTCTGAAATTACGATTTTGATGCATCTATAATAAAAAGATCAAAAAAGTAGTTTTAGCATTTTTTGTCTGTAATGCTGTATATCTATATTTGTACATTGTATAAAAAAATTATGCACATTTATATGTTTGTGTAATTTAACAATAATAAGCTTTGGACTTAAACTGGTTTTCAGTTTCTAGTAATATAGAAAGTGTAGATATAGCAGATCAGTTACATAATTACTATTTAATACAGTACCAGATAGTAAAAGACATCCAATAAAATTGGCTTACTATAAATTGTTATAACTTAAGAACAAGACATCATATCAAAAATTCCTCTGACAAATCAATAGTTCTTAAGTCAAGCTACAATTCTGTCAGAGGAATTCTTATTTTAATTAGTTTTTAAAAAGTTATAACAGGTTAAAGTTTGCCAATTTTCATAATAACTTCAAAAATTGGCGCATACGTATAATATAAAAAATCACATGCTTGCAATTTTATTGAATAAAATTTTGCACTAGAATGTAAATTCAATCTTTTATTTATTCAAACCAAATGATGTGGCAAAACTTCGCATTTGATTTATTGAAATTCAAACGTAATATTACATGCATTTGTAAAGTCAATTTTCATAACACGACCTTGGATAGAATAAATTTTTTAATTGGCCTCGTAGTTACTAATACATAGCCTTCAAATCAATACAGCACGATCCACCTAGGGATGTTATCAGCTCACTTGGCTCTGTTGATTAATCAGCTTCTATAATAGTTAAATATACAAGCCAGGTAAAGCTAATAATGTCCCTAGATCTATATCTACTTTTGGACTTAAGGAACTCTGAATGTGCTAAGTCTCAATGGCTTATGCAAGATTAGGCATTACAATAATATTGCCATCATCTTTTCGCTTTGCTACAGGTCCTAATGTTCTCAAGATTAAACTATACAGTAGCAATCTAATCTTATATCGTATTTACTTAAATGCTATTAGTGATAGTGACCAAATAAAATGAGTCCAGTCCTAAGTATGCTTTAGACTGAAGATTAATAATGGTTTAACTTTTGGATAATGCCTAATAAAAAATATATAGGCACAAAATAGATAAGGGCGCCTAACGCCTGGTCTAAAAATGCCAATTACAGAAATCTGGTGCCTGGTCCAAAAATGCATACCAATGCCAATATACATGGCATGTGCATTTACAGATTCCTAATCAGAACCAATCCATTATTCTTATTATAAGTTGCCTCAGAAACAAACCATAAGTGAAAAATAAGAAATTTCTAATTGGTATTGATCTGTATAATTCTATATAAGTGTGTGAGAGTAAAAACCTGCAACCAGTTGTAGAAAATCATTAAATCTGTTTCCAGGTTTTTATTCTCACACACTCATATATAACGCTTGCACCGATTCTCAAAGAGTCAATTGTAAAAAATTAATTTCGTTCACGTACTTTGATAATAATCATAATGTAATAAGACTTTTAACTAACCTGCTTTGCCGCATATAATCACATATGTAACAATTTTTTTTACCAAGTAGACCAACAGGAGAAAACATACCTGATTCAAACTTAATCCCACACCTGGTATACAGCACATAAAAAAATTATTTCACAATGATGGGTCAGTTAACCACCAATGTTACAAATATAATCCTTCACAATTTATATTGGGTACGTTTCCTCCTATTGAGTAAACTAGATTAAATCATTGATTTTTTAGTTGTAAAGATAAAATAATTTAATAAAATCATTTGTAATACTTATCTGCAATATATCATGATCATTATTTCGAAATTGGATAATACTTTGTTTCAAAATAACTCCTATTTATTTCCCAACATAAAGCACTCTTTTATTTATACTTATTTTAAAAATCAACTTGTGAAAATTATATTTTAAATAATGCGTATAGTTTATAGGGACTTAGATAATATGCAGATAGGCATTGCTTGAGAAAATATATCAGCTATTAAAAAATTAGATAAAGAATTAGGGTGTTTAACAATATAAAATATTCAAAAAAAAAATTGTAATAAAAGGGTGTCTTCTGTTGGGAGGTTTTCAACCTTCGCCATGGCTTGAAAAAAATAAAGATATACTTCTTAGTGCATTATTATTTTAAGAATTTGTATATCCACAAAACCATGCCAAAACTTTCTGTTCTTAAAAAGCAACAAAAAAAAAAATGAATGCAGCTCGTTCTGCCTGGCAAGCAATGAATACTAAAAATCTTGTTGACCTTAGTTTAAGTGAGGAATATGAAAGTAATAACTCTAATGAGGATGATGATTCAAATGATGATGATGAACTAGATAATGATGAAGATGCAAATTCAATTATAGACTGTCTTCTTGCAGCTTCAGAAGCTAGTTTTGAAAAAAAGGGACAACCAAAATTATATACTGGGCTTTCTGCAAGAACTCGTCAAAGAAAAAATAAGACATTAAAGGAAGCTGCAGCTGGAAGTTTAAAAATTACAAGTTTTTTTTGCATCACTAATACTCAGCTACCAGCTGCTGATGATGAAGATATTGAAGACCATAGTTCTCTTGGAAGAAAATACGATGATGATGAATTGGAGGATGATGATGAATTGAAGGATGATGATGAATCGGAGGATGATGATAAATCAGAAGATGAAGAAATTTTGATTAATAAAACTATTGAATTTGTGAACAAAACAATGAATAAAAAATACTCTCAAAAACGCTCTTAAAAACTGAAAAAACTCGTTATATAGCAGTTCTTTATTTTCTTCAGTTGCTTCTAGATGGTCAAGGGAAAATAGAGAAGTCAGAAACAGTTGCAAAGGTAATTAATGGTGGTCCATGGCTCGCAAAATGTATTAGAAAATGGGCAAACATTTGTATGAGAGAGGAATTAATCACACTGAGCTTGAGAGGAAAACTGCCCACCAAAAGCCCGCTTCATGATGAATTTGTATTTCTTCAGTTAGCTGCTTACTTACAAACTCAAAAGTTCAAAGCAACTCCCGAAATAGTAGAATTATTATAATCAATATATTTTATCTCAATTAAATATCAAACCTGTACAATATATTTCAGTCCGAACAGTTCGTCGGTGGATGCATAAGCTTGGTTTTCGCTACCAATATTACTAAAAAGGTATATATAGGTGGGTGAAATTATCCTTCTTAATAAAAAGTTTTTGTTGAAATTGTTAAAATGATTTGGTGAAATTAGTAAAATTAATTTTTTAATAATATCAATTAATTGAAACTAATCTAAATCAAATAAAATAGTTATTTGATACAGGCAACCCTCTGTAAATGCATTCCTTGGACTGTAAGCAAAATTTTTAAAAATGTACATTTAGAAAGGGTATGCATTTATGGAGGGTTGACTGTATTAATTTATAAAAATATTAAAATTATTATTGTTGAAATTAAAAAAAAATTAAAAATAAATTTCACTACATCTATAGGTGTCTACATGGATGGACATAAGTGACCAGATGTCGTTGCTTATCATCAAACCTTTCTTGAGAAAATTGTGCAGCTTGATCAACTTATGTTTAAGTGGCTTGACCAAGATTGTAGGATAAGAACTTTTCTGCAGCTAAATGATGATGAAAAAGAGCATGTATGGGTAACTCATGATGAAAGTACCTTCTATGCTTATGATGGACCACATTTTGTATGGGGCCCGGTTGGGGAACAACCATTACGAAAAAAAGGATTGAGACCTAGCGTGCATATAAGTGACTTCCTAACAGAAACAATAGGGCCTCTAAAAGATGATCAGGAAGAAGCACGAGTTATGATGGTATTAGGTGCCAACTAAGATGGATTTTGGGATTCTGTAAAGCTTCTTGAACAAGTCAAAAAAGCAATACATATCTTTGAGCAAACA